CAATAACAGTAGCAACAGCTTTTTGACAAGTTTAAAATTTCTTTAAAATACATTCAAAATGTTTGAAAATAAATTACAAAAATTAATTTAAAGTGCAAATTAAAATATAGCTGTATCTGCAACTGTATTTGATAATGTTTTGAACTTTTAAAATATTGCATGATAAAATCAGAAGCTGCACTTCATATTAGTGACAAACTTTGGTGATTTTTGATGAGTTACTTTCATTTTTGCTTCTATTTTTCATTTAAAATAAGTTTCTATTCCCAGCAGGTTTCTAAAGTTCTTCTTCTACATATTAAAAAAAGTAGTTAAACAACTGAGTGCCGCACTACTGCTACTAGTGGTGAGAAAGTGTATTGCACCTTTTTCAAAATCAATGAGGTCCCGCGGCCCAAAGTTAAAAACTGTTATTCTTTTGAGGCCCTCAAGGTGGCGCTCGTGGACCACAATTGGGCCACAGCCCATGGGTTAAGAATCTCTGATCTAGGCTGTGTATCATATTTGCCAACTATAGCTCATTTTGAACACTTAATATTACAAATATAGGTATGGACTATCTTAAAACTTGGAACACATCTTTAAAATGCTGTATGGTTTATTTGTTAACAATAACATACACCATGCAGAATGCTATCATTAAAATTTACCACCATTAAAACAAAAACATGTACTTAAATATTTATGCCAAACTAGTTGTGTGGCCAAGAAGGACATTTTATATTCAGGTCGGCCTGACTATACTGTATGTAGATTATATGTTTATCACTCAGCCCCACTGGTCATAATGCTGCTAATATGATCACTTTATACTGGGATTTTTTTCTGGCATTAGATATGATATTGCGAGATACTATAGTAGTTATTACATTAAATTTAGTCAAACCTTACCTCGATTTTGGATCTTCAGATTGCTATTTTTTGGCACAAATCCCAACGTTTGAGAAGAATAAAAGTTCTTGACAAGTGTTTCCTTTTTCTAGTTATAAGTTGGCCCATCACCAATCAAAAGAAACACGTTAAGATGTGCAACAATCCAATCTTTAAGGTTTGAGAACCTGTCTAATTATTAATTTTTCTTTCAGTTTCCCTCAAACAATCCCACAAACCATTGCATGTCGGTRGACGGCACTAAACGGTAGAAATGGTCCAAACACAGGGTATTACATCATGAATGTTACAATAACCTTGCAGGAATTATTAGCCTCTACTACTGCTATTTGAACTAGTAGAAAATCATACAATTCTTTGTAAATAACCTTGTTAACCCAGAACTGTTATTGATGTAAAGGTTTAGGCATTAGCATTAGCATGAACCGCTTYGTGTTGGAGAATAAAGTTGTTTTGAGACAACAAGTTTGTTCCTTGGCTGCTCAAACTCATGTTTTTGTTTTTTTCTTTTTAGTAGATAATTAATGTTTGATTTTTTTTTTTTTTTGTGAAAAAGGGGCAGATATTGTAAGATTTTTTTCTTCTTTCTGCTGCCTTTCAT